GTTGGAAAGTAGGTGCCCAGATAAGGACTGCATTTCCTCTAGCCTCGAGATGAGACCAAATGACTGCTGGCCAATGGAACCAAGTGGAGAGGACTGACTCCAGTTCCAGGTTAGGCCTCCAGCTGCTCTGGGCATGTCGATGGAACAGAACCACCACCTCCACCCCATTACCACCAATTCAACTTTACATGAATTATAAGCGAGAAATAAACTTGGACTGTGTTAAGCCATTGAGTTTCTGGGGTTTAACTGTTATTATAGTTAACAATGACTTTAATACGGTCAATGACATCTAACTGGAATTATGAAATTCAATTTCTACTTAGAGTAATTGAAGCAAAGGTTGTAGAGGAGGGGAAGGGGGCAGCACACCATGAAATCAGAGATCCCCAGTATGAGTTAGTTTGTCAGTCAATCAGTCTTAAGGTCAGGGTGTAGCGTGGGCAGCAGTTGCCTCCCTCTCCCCACAGAACACCCTGAGAATAGGAAGTTAGAGTAGTCACATCTTGTTACTTACAAAACATTACCCCAAAATGTAAACTACCCCCTGGACCCAAACTCTCTACAATCACCAGGTTTCATAAACTATAATCTGCTTTCTGGAAAAAAATATTAACCTGCTAAAATTCCCTGCACAGAGAGGCAACTTTTTCTGGGAGGTATTCCTGAACTCATTTTGCCAACTTCCAGATGAACAAAACTAAAGTTTCTTTTTGCTTCTTCCAAAAATATACATTATCACATAACATTTACAACTTGAAAAAGAATCCTAGAATATTTTCATGAATAATAATTAGAAGAGTAATGTTCACATAGGAAGGGCGCCTTTTCTCTGCTGTGTGCATAGGACCCTGAGACCCTGGGATTTACTTATGAGCCAGTCACATGGAACTTGGTCAACTCCTCCAAAATGCTCCCAGCGCTCACAGGGGCTGCCTTGGTGTTTGGAAGGAGGTGATGCCAAAGCAGTTGGTTTGCTGGATTTTGACTTTCTTGTTTTAAAGTGGTATTTGCAAATACTACCCCGAGGGCAATGGTTAATGGATCTAACCTTTGGGTCATGGGGGCCAGGAAGCAGCACTCACAGGAGGCTGGGGGGGTGTGTGTGTGTGTGTGTGTGTGTGAGAGAGAGAGAGGTGTGGGGTGCTGACTGACTCTGCCACTCCCCTCTCAGGCCTTAGGAATACCAAAGATTCTCACCTATGATTGGTGGTGATGGTGGGAGTGGTCCTTAAAACTTCTGTATAGAAAATCACAGCGGAACAGACCAGAAGGACCACTGATGGGGCAAGGTGAACCTGGACTCAGAGTTCTACAGCAAAGGCTGTCCACAACACTACTTACTACTCAGGACAGCTTCTAGTTGGCCTCCTCAAACCAGACAGCAGTTGTACTGGGGGTAAGGCACTGCTAGGGTTCTCTGCAGGACACACATGCGATGTTAAGGAATCTAGCTGTGGGCAACACGGAGATGAAAAATAGTTGGCCACAATCAGTCAGGTGAGAGGTAGCACAGTGTAAGGACAGCAGGCTTTGAAATGTAACAGACCTGGGTTCAACTCCTAGTTTTGCCACACTGTTTTTCTGGGTGGTCTTGGACAAGTTCTTTCTCTAATCCTCCCCATCTATAATTGGGTCTGAACACTCACCATACCACCCAGGACTGCTGTAAGCATTCAGTGAAATAGCATGTCTGATAAGAAGAAGGCACTCGATCAAGGAAGGGCAGCCACAGAAGCCTTCGTGCCATGGTTAGTGGAACTCAGAGGGAAGGGTTCTGTATGTCCCAGTTGTTTGGGCCTTACAATAATAATAAAATTCATTTTAGCACTATCTCTCTGTGGAGTACTTCTTATCTTCTTTTTAATTCTGGTATATCCTAAGAAAAGATTACAAACAATTCTAAAATGGAAACTTCACTCTACTTCAATACAGCAGATTTCCCTGGGCTCCTGGTTGGGGACAGAGTGAGTGGCTGGAAGAGGGGAATCTGTGGACGTGGAGAGTAAGTTAGTGGAAAAAAGCACTCAGCAGGAGCCAGGCTGGGGCAGTTGTGCCGATGCTGGAGAGAGGAGAAGTGGAGGAAGCTGTGCTAGGTAAGCGTTTATGCCCTTTCTTCCCTTGCCTTTTCTAAGCCATAGTGCTATTAATTTTGGTTGCTCTATTGACATTTCAAAATGTTAGTCTTCCCTTCTCCTAGTGTTTTTATTGTCAGAGGGATCCACCTGGTTCACCTTTGCTTCTGCAGAGGCTCAACACTGCCCTTGTGTTTTCAAACATAAAGCTACCCTCAATGGATTTCCAAGGTGAATCCTGCAGCTGCATCCATCCCAGACTCTGGGGCTTTGAATGCCTGTGGAGAACACCTGCAGATGCTGGGCCTCGCCATGACCACCGGAGGCTGAGGGGTTAGCACACCGAGTCCTCACCGCCAGGAGGCCACAGAAACTCCCAGTGCTGACAGCAGGTGGGAGCCTCTCAGGCGGCATCCACCAGCAGCCTCTGCCCTGCTGGAGAGTGCCAGGCTTTGAGCCCACCTGCCTAGGGACTGCCTACCTGCTGGGGAGGGGTGGGGCTGCAGAGGGCCACTGGGCTTTTGGGAATTGAGGTTCTGGGAGCCCCAGGCCTTAGTCTCACTGTAGCCCAGTTCTGGTATTTTCAAACTTTTCTCCAGCAGAGATAATGCTAATATCCCACAGTTGCAGCATTGTTCAGGGCACTAGAAGAATTGGGGCTTTCTCTCCAAATAACAATGAATATTTCTTCTGAGCCTTTGTGATAAGAAATGAGAAAGAAAATCATTCCTAGAGGCAGAAGCAGAAAACCGTCTCAACAAAAGGCAGAAGTGTTTCATTATGCATTATTACTCTTTCAGATGAGCATTTCTGCCAGCCCATGCTAGGTTTAGAAGAAAGTGGCTTTTAAGTCTTAGATTATTATGGCCACATCTTGTTTTAGGAAGGAAACATCTGATCTGGGGCAGCTGCCGGATGAGCTCTTCTGCGCTTTTGTCCATGCTCCCAGCTGGCAACCTGCTCCCTTGAAGTGCATTGTGATGCTGAGTTTTGCCACAGGCTGTCTTTTGCGGGTGGCTGTGATATGGGAATCCCTGTGAGGAGCAACCGCCGCCCCTCCAAGAGAAAAAACCCAGGTGTTTCTATGGAATGTGGTTTTACAGTGAGTTTCTCTGGTATCCTTTGAACAATGCACATATTTCTTCTGTGAAACAGTTGCAAAGTTAGAATTGCAGGACTCCAGAGATAAATTTCAGTAATTCCCTCTTCCTTTTATTAACTAAAAAATAAACAAAACTTAAACCTCGTGGGAGCAGCATTTAATACACAGAGAAAGATGAAAGAAGCAGGAATTACCCATATTCTGCAAGGTTTAGTAAAAAAAAAAAAAAATCAACACTTATTTACAGAAAGTGTCTGAGTGGCATTCTGGCTGTTCTGAATGAGCAGAACCTACACAGATGTGAAGGAGCTGTCTGGACCTGCGGAGCCGCTGAGCCTTGTGGTTGAGTGGGCAGGCTCTGGATTATTTCACACTCAGCAACCCATTCCCCTGGGTGCCCCTGGGCAAGCCATGGATCCTCTCCATGCCTGGTAGGAAAAATGGGGATAACAATAGCAGCCCCTTTATCACGGGGTTACTATGGATGCAAAGCAAACCATAGGTCCCCAAGGCCAGGTCCTTAGGGACCTTTGGTTACTCCTGTTATATTAGGGGGCCCTGCAGTTGCACCTGTACCAGTATGTAGAAGAGATGTTGATATCTGCACACATTGTTAACAGTTGGGGGGAACAACCTTTTAGTCTCATTTCTATTTTCCTCTTTCCCTCACTTTGGCTTGTCAATCTGTTTCTTCTTTCTCCTGTTTTCTATCCCCTGCCCTGTCCCCTGTCTTAGCACTTCACTTTCCTGCCCTCTCAGAGCTGAAGCCTCAGTGGGAGGTGCCTGGTCCCAGAGAAAGGGGCCCCTTCTGGGCAGCCTTGCAGGGCAGTCTCAGGGTCGGCCCCTGTCTCTCCAGTTGCTTCCGTGCTGAGCACAGCCACTGACCTGGTGCAGCCTGGTCCTCGGGCACTCCCCTTCTTGCTCGCTGTAGTACATCTCCTGTATGCCGTTCTTCCTGTGGTTAGTGATAAGCATGTCCCCTCGCTTCCTGGAATTAGACAGTCAGCTTCCCTCTCCCAAATCCCCAGTTCTCGAAGCTCAGAATTCTCTCCCTCCTCTTTGGTCTAATTTCCCTTTCATCTCTCACTTTGCAGACTTGGCCCAAATCCTTAACTCCGTGTGCATCTTAGGCAGCCTCCCTAGCCTCTGCCCTCGGCAACCCTGCCTTGCCCCCACCCCATTCCTGTCCTTTCACAAACAGCAGAAATTCTATCACCGTCTCACTTGGAACAGTATCAAATCTCTCCTCCTTCTAACAAAAGCATCATTCCTGTCATTTATCCTGAGAGAGAAAAGCACATCCACAGAAAAGAAAGTCATTTCAGCTGTAGCTCTTCGGCAAAGACTGTCATGCCCCTTGAATCATATAGAAGGTCCTCATCCCCCACTTCACACCGGCCCAACTCAGAAGCCTCCTACCTACCATTCCATAGTTTTGACCAGATCTTCATCCTCTAGATTCCCCATTCTCTCCCAAAATGGCTAACAAAGTTTTGTTCTAGCTCAAATAGGCTACCTGGGAAGAGGCCAAAAGGTTAGATTCAGTTGTGTCTTCCAGTGATGACCTTTGATTCACACCTTTTTCTTCTTTTTTTAAAATAATGATTTGAGTTAATCAAACAATTAAGGGCTTACCCTACAGAGCCCCTAATATTCTCTTAATTTTGGGGAGGTCTAATTTGCTTTGCCCAGTTGGGGGGTGTGTGTGTGTGCACGCGCGTGTGTGCATCTGTGTACCTGATGTTTCAGTACGCTTTCTCTTTGTACTCAAACTCTCTCCCTCATAGCAATATGAAGAATGATGATTGCTTTTTGTTGTGCCTAGTAAGCTGCTCTCTACTCAATGAATATTGTTACTTGACTCCCATTACAACTCTGGGGGAATCTGGATTCACAGAGCAATAGAACCTTCTTACCAAATCTGGGGTGTGATTGTAATTTTACTTTTGAAGCACCCACTTCCCAGAGGAATTGCCCATGATGGATGCCACTGTCAGGAACCCAGATGCGCACGCTCATGCATCAGCCGAGAAATCACATAAACAGCCCTCCCAGCAGGCCAGGGCTGACGCACCCATTGCTCCCCTATGGAAAGAGATGTGTCAAAAAACTCAGGGCAGCAGCAAGAAAGAGGCAGAGAAGAAGGAGGTGGGAGAGGATGAGTTTTTGCTGGTCCACCCAGGATTTTTCCTTCCTCATCTTCCTCTGAGGGCAGCAGCAGCAGCAGCCTAAGGTTTGGGTTTGTGGTTCAAAAGCTGTGTGACAGGATCATGGGGAGTTGTCTGGAAACATTTCTCCTGGGAGTGTGCTGTCAGCTCGTTTTCATAGTGCACATGAAGGGAAACATTCTGCTCTATACACATGCCTTTATCCTTATATAGGTACAGGTGATGTCTACGTTTTCCTTTGGGATGAATGTGGCCTACCTAGGCTAAGATCACGCTATGACATTTAGTCTCTTTGAAGAGCAAGTCTGTGTTGATTCCAGCAGGATGGGGCAGCAGGGGCTGGTTGCTAAGATGTCTGAAAACAGAGGATACTACTGGAGTGGAGGAGTGGAAGTGGCCCAGCGGGCCCACTGGTAGCCGTGAGTGTTAGGATAGCTTATCGGTAGCGGCAGGCCAAAGCATTGACATTCTTGACCACATAAAAGCCCATGGTGACTGGAGGGATGACCAATGTCCGGCCGGCCCGAAGGGGGCGGGGCTTCAATTCTGGGAGGGTCCCGTCGTCCACCATCACTAAGGGCTGGCCATTCAGTTGCACTGACCTACAGTGAGGAAAAACAGTATGGGACTCATTATTGCATTATAAGGGAGCCGTTGCAACAAAGCCTAGCCCCAGATGGCCTGGCAGTGTCTGATACACACATACAGCTAACACTTATTGGCACTGGCTATGCCCTAGATTCTGACCTAGGTGCTTTACTTTAATAACTCATTCAAACATCCCAACAACCCCCCATTCCCCGCCCCCCAAGGTAAGGAACTATTAATATCATTATCCCCATTTCATCTAGAGTGGCTAGGTGACTTGCCCCAAGTCACACAGCTTGAAGGTCCAGGGTTTGAGCCCAGGTAGTCTACCTCCAGAGACACATTTAGAGAAGTGAGAAGTCTGTGACGCAGAAACTGTAATGTTTCGTTCCTATTTTTTTAAAATCACAATATCAGCACAGTTTGACTTTTTCACCTAAAGAGTTTTTACCTGTGGAATGATACATGGGCTTAAGATGACTTCAGAAATCTATGTCATTCATATCTCATTAATTTACTTGACAGATGAGATAACCTTGCTTGTCTAGGGTTATACGGAAGGGAGACAGAGACATAGGTAACAACTCTACTTTTTCTTTTTCTTTTTCTTTTTTTTTGAGACAGAGTCTCGCTCTGTCCCCCAGGCTGGAGTGCAGTGGCATGATCTCGGCTCACTGCAAAACTCTACTTTTTCTAATTTAAGAATGAGTTTTGGCTGGGTGCAGTGGCTCATGCCTGTAATCCCAGCGCTTTGGGAGGCCGAAGAGGGAGGATCGCTTGAGTCCAGGAGTTTGAAACCAGCCTAAGCAACATAGCGAGACCCCATTTCTACAAACAAAATAAAAGCAAAATTAGCCTGGCATGGTGGCTACTTAGGAATTTGAAGTAGGGAGGATCACCTGAGCCTGGGAGGTTGAGGCTGCAGTGAGCCAAGATTACACCACTGTACTCCATTCTGGGTGACAGAGAGAAACTCTGTCTCAAAAAAAAAAAAAAAAAAGAAAGAGTTTTCATATTTAATATTAACAGATGTTTCCATTTAGCAAAACAGCAAAGTAGGTGATAAAGTAGGCACTTGTGATCACAATTCGCCTATCTTGCTTTTATTCTTTCTGTATAGCCAGCCACCTTCACCCTGAAAAGGTGGACCACATACATAGCAAACTGAGAAAAGAGAAACCACTCATCTTATGCTGGATGAGAGGGAAATGCCACCTATCCTTGACATCTGGTACCAGAATCCTGATAATGTTCCAGCTGTTTCTGACAGCCATGCACCCAGGTGGAAGCTTAGTTTTATGGGTCAATAGGAAAAGCCAGAAACAGGCCACCAGCTGGAAATAAGATGGTGAGTCACCCTCAGCAAATCAACATTGCATAGTGATGACTGTTTCTGGGCCTTGCCCAACCTCCAGTGTAATAACATTGCTGTGATATCATCTGAGCTGTAAAGAGAATAAAATGTTATAAATTGATATAAAGGTCTTTGTTTAGTGTTTCTTTGTGGTATGAGTGATAGACAAGGTTAGAGAGAGATAATCAGACCCATGCCCAATAGAGCAGTGAATTCCCCGAGATAAGTGTGTTGTAAATTGCTCCCAGTGGAGAGCTAGGCAGAGAAGAGATCCAGGCCTGGCCCCACACGGCTAAGTTTGGGCTAGGTCCAAACTTAGGCCAGAGGGAGCAGGCCCCCTTCTCTTGCTAGAATGACTGAGTGAATAAGTGTGTAGGAGGCTCCTGTATGGAGAGCGCGGCCTGCCTCTGGAAGGCGTGGGGATGGGAGAATTGAGATCTGAAGGTCAGTGTTGACTGCATCAGCTATGCAAGGAGCTTTTGCTTCCAAATATGAGAAGTGACCCTCTCTAGTGAAGACAGCCTACTCATTGGAGTAGAAGGCAGGGTGAGGAGAGTGGTTCAGTTAAGTTACAAAAGAAGCCCAGATGGGTCTTCACAGTGTATTTTCATTATTTTGTTGCAGGTGCTGTGAATATTTATCACCCAGACATAAGCACAGTCAAATACAAGTTCAATAATACTGATTAATCTTTCTAAGGCACACTCAAATTTATATCAAGTCTCTGCTCGAAAACCTTCAGTGGTTTCTCCCATACACAGAATTCGGTGCAAACCTTTCTTCTGAAGAATTAGGTAATGCCCTTTTAGGTTCAGATGATCCCAGAGTATTGACATCTTTGGGTTCTGGGGAGTGCAAAACAATGTGTGATAAGCAAACCTTTAACAATCTATACTAATAAGGAGTAGTTATCCTGGGACAGGCCCTATTCTGGTTTCTTTATTGGTTGGTTAAAAAGCTAAGAGTAGAACCAGGAAGCATGGTGAAGATTCTCCACCGAAATCTGTAATTCCAGGAGCCAAGTCGCTAACTAGCTAGATGGCTTTGGCAAATCCCCTAACCTCCCTGCCCTGTTGCTTTTGCATCTGTAAGAACATTATATAGGCTGTAACACCAAAGAAATGAAATAAGAAATATGAAAGTGCTTTGAAAGCATAATGAGCCACATACTTAAGATATGATGTTTTTGTTGTTGTCATTCTTATTCTTTTTATTTATTTATTTTTTTGAGACGGAGTCTCGATCTGTCACGCAGGCTGGAGTGCAGTGGCACATTCTTGGCTCACTGCAACTTATGCCTCCTG